CATTAAAAGGAATAAGAAAATTGGCAAAAGACGCACCAGACTTGAAATTAAGACAGCTTGAGCAAGCTCATCAATTAATACTTAAATCTAAAACACCTTCCGGTCTAAATTTGAGATAGTATATATATACATATATATATATAAAATTTTTTCTTTCTTTCTATCAAAACATTTTCTTTTTTACTTCTTCATAAATTATATGTATTTTGGATTTATGCTAAAACCATATGATTCAGAGTGGTAAACACTTCTATTTGTTATTGTGTTTGTTCCTGAAGAAGGCTAATGCCGAAATATAGAAATTTCTATAAAAGTGTGTGATAAGTTTATTTTGAAAATGATTAAGCCGTTTGGCAATTTTATGAAGAAACATAGTAGGTATATTTGTTTGCCTGTTAATCTAGTGATCAACATAACAGCAACAGGAAAATATAACTTCAAAATTAATATTAGTACCAAAAGAGACCGAGCTTAGGTCGGATTGAATTATACATTAAATTTATTAAACAAGTTAATTAGGTAAATGAAAGATATTTATTATGTACGGTAGGTAATCAGTGTAAACTCATTTTAGAAGATAAAAAGAAAACATTTTAATACACCTGCATACTGTACAATCAAATAATTATAACGATTGGTACATTTCAATCCATACTCAAAATCTTCAAACTTTTAAATCATTGAGACATTATTTTTTGGATTATACTTGGGATTTTAATACAAGGTGGAAACACAAATTTTACAGAGAAGATTTAAAAATAAAACAGGTACATCTCAAGATGTTTTATCTACCTCGCACACTCTCGTTGTAAGCTTTAATTACACTCATCCAATCTTTTGGCACTTCGGCTAGCCTAATTAAAATGTTGCTTTCCCAAATGATGAACTGGATGAAAAGTAATTAGCGTGGTGTCAGTGCATCTTTGAAAGAGGTTTATTAAAAAGACTCTCATCCCTTACACACAATTTATGTTGGTTAACATTTTGAGACTGCATTAGAAATAAAATTAAAATTTTCATCACAGAGTAAATTGCAGAGAAAATTATTTTTTTTTTACTGTTAATTACCGGTATGATATTCAAAACATTAACAATTATATTTTCATTTGCCTCTTTTAAATCTGTTTAATTCAAAGTTTACCATTGCCACAAAACTACGTGTTTGTTATAATTGTTAGGTTACAGCTAAAATACTGTATGAAAGAAAACTTTGACAATTAGTGAATTCCAATGTACATTAATAATTTTACAATATTTTAATATATATACATTGCTTGATGAGAGTTTTTACTATTTCATTCTCCTCCGCACACCTTGACTGTGCAAAGGATCTCTGATTAGCGTAAATCTTGGAGCACCAAACAAAACATCAAAATTACGGAATACACATGCAAGTATAGAGGCACTTCAAGCGCCTTAATAATGATTGAGATTTAACCAAAGACGAAAAGTAGACTGGACTTAGGAGAAAACTGGGACTAAGATAGGACATGCTTCTAATGACAGCCTGAGGTAAAACTTACCAGTCTGAGGTGTCTAGTTACCATAGGGGATAAGTCAGACATCCTACGCATTTCTGATACTAAAATATTCGTTAAGTATTATGATAACTAAGTACTTATTCTAAAATATTTTTTTTTTTTACAATTTATTTGGAACTTTTAAAATTGAAAGAGAACAAATCTAAGCTTAATTTGTTTTCCTATTTGACCTAAGTTTTGGTTTAATTTTAGGATACATGATACAAAAGAAACATAGGCCTATATGTTTAGAATGTAAATACAATTTTATTTATTAATTTTTTTTTATTGACTCACAAGGTATGAATTCATATTATTTACATTTTGTTCATAAAATTTATTTTAGGTCAACAGATTGGTTAGGATGTGTGCTAACCGACATCGCTCTTTGCTATAAAAAACCAAGATTGAGATTATGGATTGGCAAGAACCGAATCGAAACAAAGTTTTTACTTGTTATTGGTATATAATTTAGTGACACTTTTTAATAATAGGCTGTAGATGCTAACTTGAAAATGTGTTTAACAATTTGATTACAAAACAGAACACCAGAAGTACAGAATAATAATTATCAAGCTACTATAGAGAGAGGGAAGAGAGATAGAGAGAATTTTACATAATAAATTAATTAAACTTACAGCAAAACGTCCTTCTCAATTGGTGATTATTAATTTATTACTTAATTCCTAATAGAAAATTAAATAATGGTTATTCATACTGAATGACAATGACAAAAAGAAAGTTACCGGCAAAGCACAAAATTCTAATAAAAAACCTATAGACCAAGAAGTTATAAAACCACATCCCTAGTTATATCCATTTTTAATGGGAAAACTTCACCAGGACATTTGGAACAATTTGCTTGGGTAAATCCCATGAAATGAATTTTTTTTGTAAAACTCAATGAAACAGATCACTTATACAAAATCGTCCGCAGCAACTTGTTGAAACTTTTGATTGGTAAACTTTTAAATTGATCAACTTTAAGATACTGATATTATTTGTTTTCAACAGTGAATGCTGCATTCAAATAAAATTATGAAGGAGAAAGTAGAATTGCTCAATTGGTTTGGTTAAGTTACTCGAAGTAAAGAAAGCTTTTCATACATCTTATATTGTTATATACATAGAAATCTTATTATGCGTACCATGTTTAATTTTTCTATTTATTATGTTCTTTCAAGATCAAACTATACTAATGATTGAATTCGCCTATTTTTTGTGTACACCTGTATAGTCTATAAGTGTTACAAGAAATTTGAGTTACATAAATGATACTGTATAATCTCAAATAACTTTAATACCTACACAACAACTTAAGTCATTTAGGTTTTCCGTGTTATCATACATATAATAGTTTATATTTGTTCTAATGTAAAAATTCTGCTAAGAACCATTGTAATTAAAAGATTATTTCAGATCTCAGATTCCCAAAATCAAAACTAACTCTTACAAGAAACTTAAAGCAGCTTGGAACGTAAGTCCCTCAAAGGAACTTAGCGGTTCTTAAGTCTTCTGTCATCAGACCCATTGTCTTAATTGTTGGTTCTTGGAATGGAAAAGGATTTGTAACAATTTAAAAAGAAGTAAAAGCTTGAACAGTCTTTCAAACTTAATCGTATTACTGAACAAACTAGAGATTCTACTAATTATTTACATAGTCATTGTTTCCAAAAGAAAATGCAATTTGGTAATAATATTATTAAGTTAAAAAACAAAATTTATCAGAAATAAATTCTTGTTTTGTATTTACAACCAGATTACAGAAGATAAATTAATAGTATATTTCGTACCTAGGGCTGAAAATGAGGTTTTGCTGACTCGAGATAGTTTTTAATAAGTTCGAGACAAATTCCCTTGCTCCCAGTCAGTTCTCCATTGTGGTAGGGTATACACAAATTATTACAGTTATTAAAGTGAGCTTTTTTTTTACAATAGAAATGTGAACTGAAAAATATGCATTAATTAGTTTTCTGTGTTTAATGCACAATAAACATGACCTTGAACTTAATTTGGGCTAAAATACACACCTAGTGGGCGTCCCCATCTTAAATAAATTGATAGTTGAACTTCTAATTTTCACATTTTTATGTAGGTGTGCTATAACCTTTTTGTTTTTATTTTTGAACCACATCCATAACCTAGTCCGGCTTGGTTGGCAACAAATTATGCATATGAGATGAGATGTGATGGCACTGTTGTATTTCCAAATGTTTTGTATGTAGTGAGGTTTAGATGCATTGTTCGACCTAGCCATATTATATTATATACATATTATATTATAAATAGCATTATATGTACATCAAAGTAAAAACCCTTTCCCCCTTTTTTAATATCTGAACTGCCATTCATTCACCTACTGCACCAAACCATAGATTAAACCTACCCGGTGCTTAGTCTATTCCAAAACTTGGAACACAGCTCAAATCCTCAATGTACTCATCTACAAATGATTATTGAAAGTATGCCAAAAAGGCAAGTGCAAACCCCTACAATTAATATAAGCTAACCCGATAAGGAATAGTTATCTGTTCCTTTGAAATTGATAAGTCCAACTGATTTTATAATATAACTTAAGTTTTTGTGTAAGTGCATTAAAGGATTAATTTTTGAACAAAAACTTTAAAACATATCATAAATTCATCATTTTGTTAAAACTATAAAAAGCTTGCCATGCAGTGAAGAATCAATTTTAAAATCGTAAATAATCATGTAAACATTTAATTTTGACAGTTTCAGTAAATGTTCATAAAACTTGACCTTTGAAACACAATTTTAAAATTAACAGTTAAAAGTAGTGTAAAATTATACATATGGTGATAATGTAAACAAATCTGCTGAGGGGACTTTAAAGGCCTCTGGGGCAGAGCCCCAAGGGAATTTACCTCGTTTCTCTTTTGATGGCTCATCTACAGACCAAGACCTTTCTTTAGAGACCCCTACCAAGTTTCTACGCCCAGCCGTTCTCTGAAATTAGCTGTGACAAAAACCAGTTTTCCCCCCATAAGGGATGGAAATTTAAAGGCCACTGGGACAGAGCCCCAAGGGAATTTACCACGTTTCTCTTTTGATGGCTCATCTACAGACCAAGACCTTTCTTTAGAGACCCCTACCAAGTTTCTACGCCCAGCCGTTCTCCGAAATTTGCTGTGACAAAAACCAGTTTTTCCCCCATAAGAATAACATGGGATGGGAATTTAAAGACCACTGGGGCAGAGCCCCAAAGAATTTACCACATTTCTCTTTTGATGGCTCATCTACAGACCAAGCCCTTTCTTTAGACACCTCTACCGAGTTTCTACGTCCAGCCGTTCTCTCAAATTAGCTGTCACAAAGAAAAACAGTTTCAAATTAATATATAGATTAGTGTGAGTATTTGATTAAAATTGAAAGTATCGTTCATAACTTGAACCAAAAGTGATTTGGCAGTTGCTCCAATTATTCCTAATCTTGGCTTCAGCTTGTACATAAAAAAAACTCTCACATGCTTGGCTTTGCCTCACATGTGAAATTCTTTGTTTCTGTGTTCGGCTTTGCCTCAAACATCGAACCAGAAAATACCACTTTCAGTAGCAGTAATAAAATACAGTAATCTCAAATTTACTATTTATCATTTTTAAATCCTGCTATAGTTGAAATAAGTTTTTCTTGCTAATACCAAATCATATAGTAGTTTGGTAGAAAAAAAGAAGGCTTAAAAAATTTGAATGTTCGCATTACCATAAGGAATTACTTGTTTTCGAGCTGAAACTACATTTTTAGGTGGAGTCCATTCCAGTGGACTGTGGCACTACATAGCCATTAGTGATTAGTGTTTGATAGGATTTGGATACAAGCTTTCACAATAAAGATTCCATGATTTAATAACAGGACTGGTCAAGTTTTCTTTCTAATTATCAAAGAATAAACTTCAGTACAAAGTTAAACCTCACAATCCTATGTATTTTGTTCTAAACATTTTACGTTTACTTGTCAATAGCTTTGAAAATACCAATACAAATTGCTAAATGAGAATTTTTAAGGTTGAATGGAAGAAGGTGCTATGGAAAGGATGTTTTGTGAAAGAGCTAGATGATTGATGAAGTGGTCAGAAAAATCAATAATGTCTGTGACTTGGAATGATGGGTAGAAAGTGTGACAGCACCAGACACTCTGTTTCCAAGATTAATTGTCTGGAGAAAATGATTTAGCCACATACAGCGCTTTACACTTTTTTACACACCTTACAAGATTTATATTACTCACTGGGTACTAAAAAATCGTTATAGTTTATAGTAACTTTGGATATAATTCTTTACACTTTTATCTTTAATGTAATTATTTTCATAACTCTAGGTACTCGTTAAAAGTTCTTTAAAAATATTTCTGTTTTGGGACAGAAAGCTTAAAAAATTTAGAAAATCTTGATTTATCCACCCCACCATTATTATCCTTTTACATAATTTGTTTTCTCAAGGATCCACAACAGTGACACATATATTCGCTTGTGATAATCATAAACACTTTAAGGAAAAGTAGTGCAAAAAAATGTTTGCGGATATACGAAAGAATCTCCCCCGTCCCTCTCGTACCCTTGTCTGGAATGCTAACCTCTAGGCTAGCGACACACACAATTTGATCTCTTATGCAAAATGTTCACACAAAGGTTGTTTACTTAAAAAGAGTAATGATAAAAAATTAGATAGTTATGATATAGTTGGATTAAATAAAGAAACTTGATTTATTCCCACCAAAAATTAATCAATTTTTTTAAATAGTAACAATAAACCAGCTCTATCAGTAAAACCATCAACGCAACGCAATGTCCGATCACAAGCAACACAAACGCAGGGTACAAGTTGTTTAGCGAGAGATGCTGCAAGCCGCCAAAGTCGTGATTGTCTTTTTCCTCCAGTAGATATTTTCTGTTTATGCGTAAAAACGTTAATTTATGTTTCTGGTACTCCCACAGTCCAAACTCAATGAACTGCTGGATGATTCTGTTGAAAGCCTCATTGTAACCGGAAGACCTCCTGTAACCGAATGATGTGAATGCTGTCTGTGTATAGCCTCGCATTACCCGGAAGCTGCTCAGGTCAGTCGTAGAGTTTATTCCTGGGATACTCAGCAGGACATGTTCCAACCCCCACCTCTGGACTGGGAGAGCAATGTTGCGGTCAGTCAAGAGATGTGATTGTATCTCGTCCGGAGGTATGAACTCATAGCGGTTTTCAAATGTATTGTGCCATTTGTTCTGAAAAAAGAAGCGTCGAAGTTTGACTGTGATATGGATACTTATTGCAACAACAAATCATCTGTGAGTGGTATTAAGTGTGAAAAGTAAGTAATAATTTCTGTAGAAATATATAATCATCAATGCTATATTGTTTTCAAAGTGTGTTTAAAAGCTTTATTAGTATACCAATTTAATTTATACTTGATTTGACTCAAAAATTTTGAATAGTAAAAGTTTGGGTTGCAAAATTAACTAATTAAATATAATTTTGAAAATTGTATACAGTAGGCCTTAACGCTACTTGAAGATCAATTAATTAAATCATTATGACTGAAAATTCCAATCTATGACGGTTTAAACCCACAAAAATTCCATATGAATTTAAGCTGAGAGTGATGACTACGTGTGGCTAGTTCGCGGGATAGTTCAGAGACAGAATACTTACTTAATCCACTACCATACTATCCTAGCCATTTCCAACCCCTGAGAGACGATTGGTCTTTCCATAGGGACTAAAAACTATGTGGAAATATCCATATTACCACCAAGTATTAACCGCTGTTTGAAGTCCATCATCAGTTGACAGATGTAAAATGGAGTTAATTGTTTGGATGTAGATAATAAGAATGAAAGGTGTTGGATGTTCAGAGGTGGTTGTAAATTTAAACGATTGCACAATGTTTACGCATTTTGTATGATGTAGGCAAACTGTGCTCATTCACCAGGCTTGTTTGATACAATGAACAAAGAGGAGATCATGTGTTGTGTTGTGACTAAACATCAGACTGCCAAACTAATAGATATACACAACAATCAGCAAGCAAAGTTTTCTCAAAAGATTCATTGCCTCAACAGAAACTTAATAACATCTGTTTTTTTTTAGCATCTGTAAATATGTAGAGCTTTCTAAAGTCTCCCCGGGCCAAATGGACACGTCTTATGTATTACATGTATATAGTTTATATCTGTCAACTGACAAATTTATTCAGGGGGTTCCTTCCTGCATAAAAGTAATCACAGAATTTAATTCAAACTTTTAGATTTTCTTGCTCATTGTTTACGGCTACTATGCCAAATTTCATTGTTGCTTAGGGTAGAAACTAGCAAGGATGAAAAAGCAACAGTGGGTTTGAAATAGCTCCATTGGACATTACCTGAGTTCAATGGAGATGTTAATTTACAAAGAGCCCTTACTGGTTTAAGATCAGTTTCAGAAAACATTCTTATACAATACCGTACATAGGAAAACAAAATCAGTTTCATACAAAAAATTTTAAAAAAAAACTACCTTAAGCTATAGGAAACCCAAAAGATAATTCATTAAAAACATTCAAATCTTAGTTCTTGAATATTTACTCACACTCAAATCAAAGAAGAAATCCTTATTTGCCTGATTACTGTAGGAATAGGAAGGATCGGTCCAATAGTAGTCTCCTTCAACCAGCTGTTGAACAGTGTTGATGCGGGGAGAGTAAAGCGGCAACGTGAGGCGAGTGACTATACAACTAGTGACTGCTGTCATTAACCACAGGGCGAAGAAGAAACACCAGAGAGACACTATGCGGGAGGTGAGAGACACAGGGACAGTGTAGGACGACGACACTGTCAGGATACCGAACATCATGACTGCACTCTCTACCAGACCTGGACAAAACATGTAAAAACCATACAGATAGTATAGGGTCTATTCTTGTAGGGATTTCCTCCAGATCTCAGAACAAAAGGTTCTAGCCCAGAGCCCTTGACCCCTTACTTCAGCCCTTGAGTGGTTGCGGCATTATTACATAGCCAAAGCTATTTGGTGATTGGTGGGGTTTATGTTGGGCACTGAGGGTAGTGAAAAACTAAAAGTTGTTAAATAAAAGATTTAATCGGATAATAATGAAAGTTACATCATACACGGCAGTCACATTGCTTGACATGATTTAAAAGAAGGAACGGAAGTTGTCAAAAAATACAAGTCAAATATGTAACCAACCAGTTTGTCCAACCTTATAACATGATAACTTGCTAGATTACTCATGTAACTTAGTAATATATATATATATATATATATATGGTACATATATTATAACAGTTTAAACCTTGGTTTGACCTTGGGGATATACCTGCGCTCTACCGCTAGATGAGCTTGCTCTCCTATAATTTTATGGATTACTAACTTGGAGTTTGTTATGGTCTTAAACAGAAGATGAAGATTACTACAGTAAACATGCGTCTAATTGAAGTCTTAGGATGGCAACAGAATGCCAAATCCGGTTTCTAAGTGCAATTTGTGGATTCTAATAAGTAGGAATATACTCCAATGCTTATCCTATCGGTAATCTGCAGGCCTCAACTTACTAGGTTTCCTTGCCACTAGAGGTAAAGCATGACAGGCTCTCCAGTATACCAAGGTGATGACTAGGAATGTTGCAGCAATAGTCAACCAGACATGGACAGTGAAGATCATCAACAGTGACTGCCACTGGTCCACCAGCATGTAGGGTCGTCTTACTATGAATGTTACGTAGATCTGAAACAACAATGCAGCTAGTTCAACTGTGATACATCAAGTCTCAATCACTGTGTTTATTTGAAACAAAGTGTACTTCAAACTTGTCTAGTTCAAAAATTCAATACTGATTCTAGCTTAGCAAGTAAGTTATGTCTCATAATCCTGGATAACGATAGTGAATGAATGTAATAGGGTAACTATCTTTACTCCAAAAATATGTCCAAATTTCAGCAAGTTAAAGTAGTGAGAGATTAAGTTTGAACAAATTGTACACCAGGTTTAATACCAGGTCTGCACATTAGATAACCGTTGTTGTTGTGGCCTGTACTTCTTGAGTAGGTAAGATGGTTTGTGTCACCTAATGCATTCTGCCACAATAACCCTACAGACTACAACAACAAATGTAATCCAACATAATTAAAGTTCTTAAAACTGGGATAGGAAATAACAAAATATATACGTTAGAATCACAGGCATACTAATAATCAACAAACCAGACTTCCTACCATGTTAAGAGGTGGTCCAAAGTCCATGTTGTTGCTGGACAGTTCCCGCTGCCAGATGTTACAGAAGGTAATGTCGGCCGCCCCCTCTCGCATAGCCTGGTTCACTCCCCCCACCATCGTCCCATTGTCCAACATTGCGCCAAACCTTCCTGGAGCCTTCAGGGGTATAAATTCCCAAGTGAAGTTGAGATATGCCGCCAGTTTGAGAAACAGGCTCATCTCAATTCCGAAGTATTCAGCTGAAATAGTATGTTGAGCTGTAAAAGGATTGTATCCTTGAGGAGGATAAAAACTATTGTGTATTTCACTAAGAAAATTTGTAGCACTAGATTACATTTTCAAATTTCGGCCGTAGCACATGCACTTGCAACCCTGAGAGGGAAGGAAGTGCTCACAAGAAGGTGAAATATGAATTCCAAAGCAAGCAAATCTCTCCGTGATTAGCAATCGTTCATTATCCGGTTGTGAATTTCCTGATTATTGTCCATTGCAGATTAGTAGACCAAATTAGATAGCCACACAGAAAGTCCAGTGGGTCTGGTGACCTGGCAGGCCATCAAAACAATAAGACTCATCATTATAAAGCTGTGTATTTTGCATTGAGTCAATCTTGCACATCGTTTGGATGTACCATATAGAACTAACACCGCAAACGGCGCAAACGATATTTAATGTTTCTCAATAACAAGAAAGAAAATATTTGACAGTCCCTACAGTCAAGTTTAGCGTAAAAAGTATGTAGTGTAAAAGTTATTGAACTCTTCTCAAAAATCACAAATTCAAACTTCCATTGCAGAATAAGCGTGTATACAAATGTTTTATCTCAATTACTCAGTACTATACTATGGTGAATAGGATGAGGATTCTGAAAATAACAGTAAATTCAAAATAAAAACAAGGTACTGTAAAGTGCACTTATTGCTTACATAAAATGGCTATAAGACTTAAAGCCATTTTATGTAAGTAAGCAAATACAACTATGTTGAAAACATTGTAGTTTGTTTTTTTTTTAAGTAAACAACAGTGTTAAATATGATTGTATACAAATTTTTACAAGAATTTTATGAATAAAATATTGACAAAAGGTCGTCGTCTGCGGGTGAGGATCCAATGATACTGGCGACATTTCTTTTTGTATGGCCATGGCAATCCGTTGAAATAGGTAATCTTCATAATAAAAACATCATAATTTGTCTGTTATACCCTACCTGTGAGGGTATGGAAGACTAAACTGGTGCCATGTTGTCACCAATACATAATATTTTAACACATAGATTTTTTTACATTAACTTCGTTCCACCCTGTAATTTTGTTAAGTTCATAAATTATAGTAACACGTTCAACAATGATAAACATTTTTTTTTTTAATGCACAAAAAGGTGTGTGGGTTGATTTTATTTGAAGTAATCTTTTGATATCTTATGTAATGACACCTACTTGGTGGTCTAGTCATAAACTCAACTTACATTACTCATAATGTTGCTAAAGTCACTCTGTTTTTTAATTTAATCAACTTTATATATGTATATATCAGAAAAAAATGCACATACTTACTTGTTCCAGTTCTGTTCAGCAAGAGTGAAAATGGAGGAAAGTGAAATGTTGCAACCTTGATAAGTTTCCTTTCAAAATTAGGAATCGTTAACTTTTTATTCTTCCTTATAATTCCATTTGGAATCAAATAATTCATAGAACTCACAGTAGTGTTTAACAGTCTTATTTCTTGGTTTTGGAGTGAAATTACAACAAAATTCATAGAATCAAATAAACTGGAACACTCTGAGTTTTTGTTGATAAAATCATCGATTGATTTATTAGTTAAAACCACTATGCTTATAACTTGAACTACACTATTATGTAAAATAAGTTGGCAAACACTGAAGTTACCTCTGTCGATAATCATGGACTTTTGACACTCGTTTACAACTTTCTCCTCAGAGGTATATTGAAGTACTGGAATAAAAGGGTAACACTGTTGTAAAATAAAAGTTTGTAAATCACCATAAACAATAGAACTCCACATACAAAAGCTTCTTTTGAAAAAATCGGAGCAGACATTGCTAATATGTTGTTTTAAATCATCGAACTCTATTTGAACCGTGTTTTTAAGAATGATTGAATCAATGTCACAGTCAATAAAAACCAAAAGTATAATAGCTTGAACAAGTTTCATTTTGAAATTGACTAAGCACTCTTCAAACTGTTTACACTTGTATCACAAATAGCAGTTGGTAGGTACTAAACCAATGTAGCGATTAAATTAATACTTTGGGTGAATCAAATGAAATATCAGTGACTGAATAGGAATATACACCCCCCTCTCCACCAACCCCTAAAATTAATGGAAAAATGACATGTCACTTGATGCCCTCACATGTAGATAAGTGCCCAGATAATGTGGTAAAATGGGACTTTGCTGATATTTAATAAAGATAAACATTGTTTAATACCTCATCCAGTTCTACTTTTGTTGTTAGTTTTACTGTGTATTTCCTACTGCCAACCATCATAAAATAAACAAGATAGGAGAATAATGGTTCTTAATTTGTGTACAGTTGATTATCCAACCGAAATGATAAAAGGTATGTAAATTTACCTTAACAACTAACTGGACTATGTAACCTAAGTTTAAAATTACTAGAAATCTTCATATTGTATATACAATTATGGCCAGCAAGCCATAGATATAATTTAACTTGTTCAGTAAGGTAAAACTTGTGACTTTCATTTAGGTTACACAATCGTTTGTTTGCATTAAAATAAAGTATCAAATTTAAAATAAAACAAAAGTAGTAATTGCAAAGCGCTAGGCTATTGAAGAAGTGAAGGCTTGCTCATACTATGAAAGACTGGAGAGCTAGAAAAAGAACCTAAATACAGTTATACAATACATAGGACACCAAAATTTGAAAAAAGTTCCTTTTTTATACAGGTCTAAAGCTGTCCAACCATTGGGGGAAAAAACAAATTGGCCAGAACAAATTGGGAGTTAACATTTAAAAATTAAGGAAATTCTACTGGATAAGGTTTTAATTCCATCCCAGACTTTTTAGCGGACATCTCCTTGGGTCTATATTTTGTAGTTTGAATTTTTATTGTTTAAAAAAACAAGCAAGGTAATGTATACATAGATATTAATTATTTTTTCAAACTGTCGAAGTAGATTGAGTAGGTATTTATTATACATATTAATAGATTAGGACTAGAATTTAACACATTGAGTTTTGAATTTTTCTGCCTGTTATTCATGGGCTTACAGCTGTTGCTTAACCACATGTGGTAATTATATCAACAATTAACCTTGTTAACTGCTACGGTATGATGTCATAAAATCATTAATGAAATTTCTTCCATAAAGACATTTCTAGTTGTCACACAACCTTTTCAACAGATATTTTTTTAGGTGTGATAATTTGTGTTACTAGTGTGTGAAGTGGCACTTTGTGCTCACATACACATTATATTTTTCCTACAGTTACCATAAAGCAAATAAAAAAATTAGTCTTTCAAACACTCTTATACATATTTTTTGGTTAGGTAAAATTATAGATAAAAAATTAAATATAGACTGTCAGCCGTGCTGTGGTTACCATGGTTACCATAGGTTCTGGCGCAGACCGCTGGGAGTGCCGTGTAGTTACGTAGCGTGTATGCCGTAACTAAATGGCGCTCCTAGTGGTGTGCGCCAGAACCTATGGTAACCGCAGCACAGCTGACGGTATATATTTAATTCTTTTTGTCTATGGTTAAATCCAAGGGTTGAACAAAATGAGAAACTCTGAACCAGCTGATCATATTGGTAGTATCTTTAAGTGTTGCCAACTTATTTTTAAGTGTTAACGTATTACGTGCCCAATAAAAGCACACTATTTTGTGTTGTTTGGATAGAATACTAGAATATGGCAAAAAAATTAGTGCAGCAAAAGTAAGTAAATGCAGCAATTAGCTACTTTGTGTGCTATAATCAGTGCAAGGAAGCCCGCTTTGTCAGGTAACCCAGTTGGAAAAAGATTTTAATCAATTAAAAGTCATGGTTATCAATTAATGATTGGTGAGATTTCCACCCAGGATCTCGAAGAAAGAAGTTCCAGGCTGTAGCAACTAGATTACCCCGATATTGTTGGTTTATTTTAAGACTATTTAGAGTGCTGCCTCCAAACCCAGACTGATGTAAACCAGCTCAGGAGCCTTTATTGAATGAATAACCCTCAATCTTAGGCAATTGCCAAATATTCAAAGATTTACCAGTTCCATATCAAATTAACATGCAAAACACATACATCAGATTTAAAAAGATCTTGCTTTTATCAGGTACTCCTGACCTCTCAAATTTATAGAAATAAACCAAAAACCAATTTTTTGGTCCGGGCCAAGTTATCCACATACACTTGATATCATAGTTGATATTGTAAGGTCTTACCTTAGCAATCATAGTAAAAGGTAAGACCTTACAATATTAATTATATGTAGCAATCCAGAGGCTAAAATGAATGATGATATCATAGCTCAGGTTGGCATTGTTAAAACTAACAACTTTGGAATTACTAAAGGTAGAAACTAAGACATTATAGACACAAATAGTAAATTTTTTTTATTTAAGTTAATGCTAATGGAGAAATCCATACAATGTATGAAGTTTTTCAATAGATTTGTAATATAAAAAATATAAAACTTGCGAAAATTATGTACAAGTCTGGAATGGCACTCAAAATTAAACATAATAGATGAATAACACAGCCTACTTGTCATAATAATCATCATAAAATGACATGTAAAATAAACAGAAGTTTAAAAGATATTGTACTGTTGGTGACAATACAATACTTGGCACAATAAACTAAATCTAACATCACGAAAAAATAAATTCTATATGAAAATACCATGTCTTTGGCAAGGTTCTAAATCACAATCCCATAAGGCACTACTAAGGTTACAATGAAATCAAGCTTATCATAGATATTACCCTAAATGGCGCCAAAAATAATAATATCTACAAGTTATGCGAGACCATTTCACATCAACTGTAGCTTCAAAACTTGTGACTTTCATTTAGGTTACACAATCGTTTGATTATTTCCAAAACCTAAATGATACTAAAAATCACAATATATACTATGTCATCACTTTTTTTTGGCTAATGGATATTTTAACAGACATTTCATGATGCAAGAAACGGCTGTACCCTATATCTTAACTCAGGTACTTATCAAGTATGGCCTGTTTAAACCATTCGATGGTGAACTGTAGATGATCACCGGGGACTGAGAGGAACTGCAATCTGCCAGACTGGTCCAGCTGTTGTAGCCCTAGTCTATCCTGCAACATATGGGTTACTAGCTTATTTATACAAATCATTTTAGTTTGATCCTATAAATGTCAGTTAGTAATTGTCATAATCAACGCATCAAACATGTTTAACAATATTTTAATTTGATTTTGCTTTTTTTGGTTGAAACAAAAACAGCAATAATGGTTTAGTCCACTGTGAAATTGGCTCTTGGTTTCATGGCGACAAATTCCAAGAAAATTGGCAAATTACTTGAAACCTATCTTGAGGATATTTTATTTTCTACTACAATTATATATACCTATATATGAAAAGGAATTATTTATTTTGGTTTTTCATGCAATTATGCAATTAAAAGTATATATGTATTCTTGAGACATGTTCCTTATTTTTTAAATGTCCAATAACTTGTAAATTAGGTAGGGCCTATATATATATATATATATTTTTATCGTGAAGAATAATTAGGCTAGTAGAAAAAATTGCTTTAAATTAATAAATTGCCTTCTAAAAAGGAAAATAGCTATAAATTTGTGGTTTTGTCCAAAAATAAACATAAGTTAGAGAAGAATATTACCTAATACGAGTGAAAAAGGTTAAATCGTCAGATTTATTCCCTATTGAAATAAAATTACGTTTAGCTACAACAGGGAAGGTAATTAATAAAATACTAATAGCTTATTGTAAAATAAATAAATTTGCCAAGTTTTATATCAAAAAATATTTATAATCAGGCAAACTAAAATGGTTTACTTATTCTCTATAAGAATAACATGGAAACTTCAAATTTTGAAATTTTCTCCGTAACCAAAACCGTACAAAAACACTCCAACAAACTAAACTATTTGTTTCTTAAGCTCTAAAAAATTATTTAGTGAAAAATTCTCTCTTTAGGGTAATGAATTATAAACCCCCATTTTCATCCATTAAACGCTGTTCCCATAGTTTGATCATGGTGGTTTGTGATCTCCTTAGAATAAACCTAAGTTTACAAATTTGTGCCAAATTTCATTGAAATCAGATAATTTTTACTCAAGTTATCATGCTAACGGACACATATTTATATGAATTTGAATAATTGGTGTTTTTCGCCTGCTGGGGAGATAAAAATTAAAGAGTATATTGGTCCTGGTTATAGCTTAATCCCTACAACGGAAATTTAGATTTTCTGATATGGCATGGCAAACTCTTATCAACCAACAAAGCATTAAAATAATGTTTGAAATATCATGGCCAAAAAATTGCACACTATAACAAAATTACATAAAAATTGACATTAAATCAGAATTCTGAACATTTAGGCCTACTACTGGTTGAATAGGCAGTACAGTATGAAAGGAATCTCCATTTTGAAAGGGAGTTGTTGATATAGACCTACTTCTCCAAAAATTACATCCAAAAGGCTGATCACACCGTCAATTTTCAGACAGGTGTGTCAGTGCGAGCATTAGAAAATTAACTGTTAAACTAAATTAAAATGAAAAAAGCTCAAACTAATTGTGGTTTTATTTTTAGCTTTACACACTAATTTGTTTGGGATAGTAAAACTCTCATGTTTTTCAGGCAAAACGCTGCAACTATTTAATCACGATAATGGTAAAGTAAAAATAAACATA